GCATGTTTGAAGAAGGTTTGGGTGTGGGGAGCTTCCGTCATGTATGATTGTCAGTTTGCCTTTGCATAGCGAAAAATTGTTCTATGGAACGGTACATCAGGGGGTGTGTTAGTTTTGGCATCAATCTGGACATTGATTAGTGAATGGGCTGACGTGTCGAGTGGGAAGGTAGAACATTTGATAAACATTTATCAGGACAGGTCGTTAAGAAGAGATCGAGGAAGTTCCGTCGTTCCCAGAACCCAGGTAGGTTCTCCGATGATCTGGGTTAGTTCATAGGTGATGGAGAAGTCTCTTCAATATCTGCCTTCAACTCTTTATAATGGATATTAGTCACCACAGATATGAAATCTGGCAGAGGGAAATTGATTGAGGATATAAGGATATTATCAATCATCCCAGGTATTCGGTCTAAGATTAACGTCCCATCGTCCTGAGGATAGCAAGAAAGCAAAAACTAATGTGACGCTATGGATAAGTGCCACGAGGAAGCAAATATACAGGAGATCGTTTTTTGCGTCCCTACCACAGAGAAACTTGTCTTTGATGTATGCTCCGAGTTCGTGGCCATGACGATTTAGTTGGTTATGTTTGGCTTTAAGAAATGTGTATCTCGGGACTGTGAACTCACCTAGTGTGTATGAAGTGTTGATGCCGGTTTCAGGAAGTAACAGGAAGTAACAGGATGTCTGGTTTAGACTGGAGAAAATGGTGTTCCACTTCTGGAAAGTTGGAACGTAGACTCCTCACATTGGCGTAGGAGATGGTATACGAGGGTTTTACTTTGTTTTTGTTTTTTTTTTAAGTTGAGTTTGCTAGTTTTGTTCATTTGTATTCTGATTGGTTTCATATGTGCTTTGGTTGGTGTAAGACTGGTAGGCAGAGAGACAGACACACCCACAGGAGCTGCATGCATAAATAACTTAGAGAGAAGGGTCTAGAGATACTTCTTTGGCAGTAACGTTCATCATGGCATCGAGAGGCCTCACCGGAGAACAACAAAGGCCAGATGAGTCACAGGGCGTTAAAGCTTATATTATGAGAATAGTTTTATATGACGGATGTCACACAAGTCAATATCTGATTTGTATCGATGAGGTGACCGGGGAGAAGCTGTGTGATGCCGTGACATCCGAAACCCCTAATTCTTCTCGACTATAAACATCCCTCTTGATGAGCTCCAAATTATCAAACATGTATTTCACAAAAATATACATATTTATTTATGTTAATATTCATTTATATCCATATATACCGTATTTTCCGGCTTACAAGACGTACTTTTTTCCTAACAATACATGTGCTTCTTCCAAGACCAATGTAAGACATCGTCCAGGCTCAAATAAGCTTGGACGGTCATCGAACTGGATTGTCTTATAAGGACGTGGATTTGTATCTTGAGTGATTACACTAAATGTTAGATATCTAACTCAGCCTTTTATATGATGTCACATCAGTACTTAGCTGTTAAAAGTATTTCCAAGACTATAAACCTTCCTGGAGCCAAGACACAAGATTAAACAGGCTCATACAAATAAAATCGGGCGAGTGATTAATGTAAACAATCCATGGCGCCAGTATGTGAAGGACACATGGTGAATGTGTTGTTGTTTGAGAATGACTTTGTTTTCTTAGAAATTTCTTTCCAATATTACGGTACGTCTTCCAAGACGTAGCGGCTTTTAAGCCGGGAAATATGGTATATATTATTTACATTTTGGTATATACATTTATATATATTCATATATATATAAAAATATAACATTTTTTTTATAAAAGGAAATTTTTATGATGTTATTTAAAAATCGATAACTAAAAAATTATACCTTGTAAAATAAAAAAAATGAAACCTAGAAAATATATGCACTGTAGAAAACAAAAATAATTTAACGTACATTCGGCAAAAACCAATACTTTAAACAAATATGATAAGTAACCCCCGAAAAAAGAAAAATAATAATAATAATAATAAAATAAATAAATAAATGAAATAAACAAAAAACTAAATTATATAATAAACAAATTAATAAACTACAAATACACACATAAACACAAATAAATGTAATAATAATAATCAACAACAAATAATTAAGCAATAAAAAATAATGAGGCAAGTTAATAAACAACAATATGAAATAGCCTAAAATAAGTACATTCAGATCCACAATTATTCTCACTCAATAGTCTCTAGAATAATTTAAAACATAATCGTTATCGTCCATCTAATAACCGTTAGAATAATACAATAGCCTTTACTACCCATAATGCACCAATGACCATCACATATAACTAGTTAAACAAAAACACAACAGACATGGCTTTAGGATTGCGTTCAAGCATGAAACAGACAGTTGTTGGTCGGTGCTAACTTCGTTGTACACTTTTATATTTAAATATTGCACTATACCTAATATTGAGACTTTTTACTTTAAAACTATATTTTTATCACAGCTTCCTATCCTTTCCTAACTCTCTATATTTCTGAGATAAGGTATTGGAATTATTGACACTTATTTACATTGTTCGGAGTGTTGTCCTCATCTTTGTTGCCATATACACGACGTTTTGTTCGTTGTATATTCCGGCCTTCTTAAGGTGATTGTAATTTCGAACCAAACCCTTAAGTTCGTCCACCGGAGTAGATTGTTCTAGTTCCACGTGTCATGCCTTTATTTATCAAACATTCCAGATATTTTTTTATTGCTAATCTCTTTTAGTCTTTGTGCAAATATATTTATATGATTTTCTCATCTGAAGAACCAGGAACAAAATCATTTTAGGCCTTTTTTTGTTATTTCGTTTGGTGTTATAAATGGTGTTCCAATAACTTGGACCGATTTTAAATGTGAATTATGTTTAAGCGTCTAATGATTTTTTTTTCTTTTTCTTTCAGATTTGGCGGACATTTGGGCGATATTATCTTTCACACATAATTGCCATGACGTAACATGATCCAATAGAGAAATAAATAAACTTTCACCAATAACACTGATTTATTTACTGCTGACTTTGATCCGTCTTAATGAATCACCCTTATATATAATCCGTCTTAATGAAACACCCTTATATATAATCCGCCTTAATGAAACACCCTCTATTTTTACTTTGCAGTCGGTAATTGCTTTTATTCTCGCTCGTTCTCCCTCATTGTTTTATATGATTTTGTATATATTTATATATACAACGTCTCCAAAAAATGTAGTCACTCTTTGAATCACAAAAAAAAATGCATCATCTGCTGTCTTGCAGACAGGTTTAAATTGATGGTTTAAATTCAAAAATTTTAATGTTTATCGTCTTGCAAAGGTTTAAATTAAATATTAAATGGAATGAAATTCATGGAACTGAAAAAAGTTGAACAAGTTATAGGAAGTCAAAAAGTGAGTATATTTTTAGGGGACACCCTATACTAAAAAGTAAAACATCAGAGATGCAAATGACATAAAGTTTTTAGCAGGAAAGAAAACTACATGAACTCCTACAGAATGCAGTGGAAGAAAGCTAGAAAAAAAGGACTAAACATCAATGGCAAGAATGTAATTGCATGGTTGTTAGCAAAAGGGAATAGCCCAACATGCAAATTACAGACTCGAGATACCGGAATCAAACAGGTGCAACAATGTTTGGCAAGCATATTACCAGAGAACGAGAAATTCAGCACCAAAATACGAAGGAGCAAAGTTCAAGCGATAGATGCCGTCCAAAAGTTGGGCAAAGTATTAAGAAATAGAAAAATATCGTTAGAAACAAAGAAAAAGTGCTGAACTGTTATGCAATACAAGTCCTCCTATATGGCATTGAATGCTGAACAATCTCCTCACAGATGAAGAAGAAACTTGAGGCAAAAAACAAAGAAAAGAGTACTGAACTGTTATGTAATATCAGTCCTCCTATATGGCATTGAATGCTGGACAATCTCCTCACAGATGAAGAAGTGACTTGAAGCAAGAGAAACAAAGAAAATGTACTGAACTGTTATGAGATATCAGTCCACCTATATGGCATTGAATGCTGGACAATCTCCACACAGATGAAGAAAAGATTTGAATCAACAGAAATGCCGTTCTACTGCTGAATGTGGAGAAAATGAAAAGTTGAAAATGTTTGGGATATATATTGATTATCCAAGCGTAGCTTAGATGTGACACAAGGCCGAAATTATTCGGCACTCAGTGAGGATAGAACTCACTCGTAATAGATCTAGCAAGACAAGCTTGCTAACCATTAAACCACCTCGAGGTGCCCGATTTTCTAAGTGCAGCTTAGATGTGGCACAGGGCCGAATGTGTGGAGCCCCCACTCTGGATCGAACATACTATTCAGTAGTAATAGATCTAGAGGGGCAAGCTCGTTAACCATTACGCTACGTCGAAGTGCTCTATGTCGTGGGTATATAATGAGCAAAGAGGCTTGGAAATTTTGATACTAACAGGACACGTTTCAGGTAACAGGGGCAGATGAAAGCAATGCGAAAACTACGTGGGGGAGGGTTGGGCGAATGGATAGCATAGCATATTTTGGCAAAAAGATAAAACTGAGCTACAGGTGCAAAGAACAGGAAATTGTGGAGAACCATCATCCCAAACGTCGATAAGGTACACGGAAAAGGAAGAATATATTTTACTATATATCTCATTCCTTTTGTGCTTTCTATGCTGACGTATACTTCTGCATTTCCGATCTCTAAGGGGGTGCATATATACCTACCACTATCATTTCTATACAATTTATACAGGACATGAATTGATTATAATAAACTTATTTGTATAGAATATTTGAAGTTGGAGATTGATTTTGGAATCAACAAGATGTTCTCTTCGGCAATAAAATTCAGGATGAGCATTCGTTAAGTAATTGAAGTTACCAAAAACTGGTTTCAGGTTTTCGAAGTAATCAATTAAGTGTTTGCAGTTCATTTCATATGTGAAATGTTCTTTCCGAGTCATGTCAGCTGGAAATAGACAGAAAAAACGAAAAGAAATAAATTCGGAAACGAAAAACTAAGAGAGAAAATTAAATAAAGCGATGTAAGATAAAAAGAAATTCATCGGAAAGATAGAGAATCTGAAAAAAGGAAAAAAAAATGAAGAGGAGGGAGAATAAAAGAAGGAAAATGGAGAAACATCAATCAGGAAAATTTAAATCGAGCTAATGGAGATGGATAGAGTTGCCACATCACTGACAAAGGATATATCAGTAGATGGGAATTCTTATGAGAGAGAAAACGGTGAAGTAAGTTTTGTGTGTTTCTACCTGTTTTCCCTGAGGACAAAATACATTATATTAGATATGTTAGAGGAAAGAGGAAATGAAGCAACAGTTGTAAATAGAATACATGATTATACTTTAATATTATAGCATTATATATATATATATATATATATATATATATATATATCAAAAGCTTCAGATAGATTGGTAGAACAGACTGCGATTAATATATATTTTCCGTTTATACGTTATTTTTATAGATATAATTTAAGTAAATGCTTTGATTTTATTAATTAAACATTATTAACTACATTTATCTGAATGTTCGAGAACTTTCAGAGAAAATATGTGCTTCTCCGACAGGAATCGAACCTGTAACCCTTAATGGGAATCATCATTTGATTTTATGCACTTTTAACAATTCAATCACAAACAAGATCAAATGATAGTTCCCATATATATATATATATATATATATATATATATATATATTATTTTAGGATATTACATCAAAAAAGAATATCAATGCATATCAATGCATCTCATCAGGTTATTGTAAATTACTGCCGAGTGAACATTTTAAAAGCAAAATACAGCCTTATTTTATGAAAAAATAAATAAGGTTTGTGGCCTTTGCTCAGATCAGCCAATCGAATATGACTTATGTTAAATTTAAACTAAGGGAACAAGCAAAAAATAACGAAATTATTTTTTGTAAATGGGTCATGACCCTTAGATTTGAAATCAAATGGTAGCAACAGATGTTAAACAGGAGTGAGTGTAAATGGATACATAATTATACATTAGACAATGTCATCCCCTAAGAAAAAATGAATGCTAGACAAGTTATATTCTTTGTGAGTTTCCTACATAAGAAAAAACGTTTTTTATAGTTGATAAAGAAATATCTTAAGAAACCAGTAAACGTATAGAGTTACTTGTTAAATTAATACCCAACTTTTGACTAAAGATTTTTATATGATGTGTTAATAACAGTAAACAATCAATCCAAAATTTCAAAATACCAACCAAATAACAATAGATCCATGCAAGATGTTACTAGCACTACCGGGAGATTAATACAAATTATATTAAATCCAAATTAATTTTACCAACAGAAAGATAAGCCATGTATAGTGCAAAACAAAGTTCAACTAAACTTATTTATAACGGAAGATTCTTTCATTCGTTTGGACTTTCTTTATTTCCTTTTCTTTTTCTTTCTTTTATTCTTTTTCTTTCTTTCATTTAGCTTTGTTTCTTTTTCCTCTTCTTTTTCATTGTTCACCTCTTTATCTTTTTATAAATCTTCTTTCTCATTCCGTCTTATTCGCATTCATGTTTTCACTCACTCACAGACTCACACGCACGCATATATATGTACGCACACGCAGACATACATAGAAACACACAAACGTACACATCAGCTCACATAGACTCATTAGGTTGCAAACATATAAATTCCTTATGTGCCATATTCCTTCATGATATGGTCAATAATGGTTCTCCAGTATTTCTTCTCAATTCTTCTCTTAAAAGGATCTTTTTTTCTTTACTATTCTTTCAATTTTGCTCCTTTTGCTTTGATTCTAAGAATACACCTACCTACATACGTACCTATGAATGCTATAATTCATATTACTGTTGGCATTCCTAAATATATATTCGTATACGCTTAGGGGTCTCATAAAAGAACCGGAACATTTTAAGGAAATTATATATATATATAAAAATTCGCTTGAGGATGAAATGGAACTAATGTCTTTAATATAATTACAAAATTAAATTCGGGGCTTTTAGCTTCCATTTTTGAAACATGGTTAGAACTGTGTAGCGAAAAAACATATTTTAAATAAATTAATTTATAATATATATATATATATATATATATATATATAGAAAGAGAGAGCGAGGAAGTAATCCGTTTGGTATAATCCAGGCGAGTTTGGTATAATCCAGGCGGGTATAACACAAGATAGAATTTGAAATATGTTAAAACTGATTCACCAAAGAGCTCTCAGTTTTTATTTTCATTACACAGAGCAAATTTTCTTTACAATTGGTATTAAGATACCTTTAGTTAATGACAATTTTCACCTACAAATTTTAATTTTAAAATTCGCAGGATTTATCAAAATCAAAGAAAATCCATTGTCAAATGCCAAGTCTAACTGAATTGTAACGTAAAAGGTAGACTGTGTTTACAATTTACAGCTAACTCTTGGTTTAATAAGGCATTCTTATCAAAGAACATGATAATTTGCAATTATTCATTTAAACACAGAAAATAGGATTCATATAGAGATATACATGTCCTTGCCATTTTTTAAATTTTCCATTTCACTTTAGCAGTTTTATTATTATCTTTCAAACTCCAAAAATATTTAGAAATTGATGTATTAATTCTATAAGTTTTATTAGTAAAAGACAATACATGTCGATATCACCTATCGTTGAAAGAATTCTTAGTACTACCAATATAGAACTTTTCAACAGTCGGATTCTCTGTTGGAGACATAGTACAAAGATAAATGTTGTAAATTGTACTCTATTCGTTCTCATCTTTCCTGGATATATATATATATATATATATATATATAGAGAGAGAGAGAGAGAATTAGAAGGTATTTCAAGCAAGGGTATATATACAGAAATTATTAGGAGAATTTATTAGGAAAGTTTGAATAATCATAATTAATTCATCGAGTCTAGTTTATCTCTTCGTCACCAAAATCCGTTGATCTAGTGGGTATGATGCTTGTGTCATATCGTAACGGTCCGGGTTCGATTCTCGGTAGGGGATGCACACTGCTGATGAGTCCCCAAATAGGACGAAACGCCCGTCCAGTGCTCTCTACATCCTCTAAATTCGATGAATTACTTAATTATATATATATATATATATATGTGTGTGTGTGTGTGTGTGTGTGTGTGTGTGTGTGTGTGTGTAGTGATGGAATCATATATATATATATATATATATATATATATATATATATATATATATTACTTATTATAAAACGCAGGTTGTTGTGTGTGTGTGTGTGTGTGTGTGTGTGTGTGTGTGTGTGTCTGTAACGTTTATATGTTGGATCGAATTTCCTACATTTTTTTAGCCGATTTCAAATAAAACTTCACAGGACTACATAAAATTACCTTTTGGTGGTTCTAACGGTGCCGAAAATGGGAAAAGCTCAGTTGTTTTTTAAGAAAATCAATTTGAAAACACGATTAAGACACATCGTGAGAATGAAAGGTGGACAACTCACCCACGAAAATGTAAACAAAAGAGCATAGCATGATGAAAAAGACGTCGAACTTGACGAAAACAAAATTTTATCGTCTAATGTTTATATTATTATTAATGAGGAAAGATCAAAGTATTTTGGGGGTATTTTTTTACATTTTTTAATCGTTCCTAGCACGTCTGAAATTTTCGTTAAAAATATTGTTTTTTTTTTTTTGGTCAAAAAAAAGGACAGATAATCAAATTTTTTTCGATTTGATAAAAAAGATGAAAATCTGACTTTGATATTCTTTTAAAAATCAATTATCATTTTTTCAAAACTGATTTTAATAAAAACAGATATTATACTGTTTATTTAAAATATTTTGAACCAAGCCTAACTTAGCTTCTGCGCCGAAAAAATGTAATTTGAAAATAAAACAAAGCAGGTCATAACCTTTCGCGTCGCTTGACGATTGACGAAAGGCACATTCATGACGTTTAGATAACTTACGGGAGGGTAATTCTTTCTACGGATGGAAGGAAGTGAAATTATTTAAGTGAACAAATTATTTACCTCGTTACTTTTAAGGAAAACTTTCAGCGCTCTAATTTTTTATTTTTTATTTATTTTTTTTTTTTTTGTACTTAGCTTTCATTTTTACGTTTACGATGCTTCATGGAAAATATAAAGAAATTAAAAAATAATACTGTTAATAGTGAGACTAAATTTCATAAGAAAAAGGTATCTAATTAATTTAGGTACCTTTCTTATGAAATTTTATCAGAAGTGTACATAAAATACTATAATTTTATATAGATTTATTACATTTTACTGTGTTATTTGTATTTCCATTCATTTTATTATTAATTTTGATATTTCATTTATGGAAAAATGTCATAACTGTCATAATAAGATCATATAAATTAAAGTTTAGCAGTAGTTAAATTTCATAAGATGATACTGTTACTTGTAGGTACCCTTCTCAGTTGAAATTGAAAACTCAAATTAACTTCTCCATACGTGTTTCGCAAAAGTAAAGGGCTTAACAGCGGAGAACAATGCTGAACTCAAATAATGCAACTAAATTGTATTCTGGTTGGTCTTCCGTACTTGATAATTACTGTCCGACTATAAACACAAAAATTACATTTCTTAATTACCATGGCTAATCTGATTGGTCCAAATTATACAATTTTCAAAGCGCTAGACAATGACAATCTCACACGGACATTTTGAAAGGTTGATGTTGCATTTAACTAATGTTAAAATATTTTTTAAAATTCAATTTAAACATTTTTTAAAAATCTTTTTTAAAATTAAAGAAATAAGAAATAATTGTATTAAAAATTCAAAAAAGTTTTTGCTTCCAGAAAATATTGTCCATATTCATAAAAACAAATTAAAACAAATAAAAGCATTTGAAACTAAATAATATATTTGTTTTATTGAGTTTTGTATGTTACAATTCACAGCTGATTTTCAGGTACGTTGGCCAAAAAAAAAAAAACAAAAAAAAATACATGATTTGCATTCTTCAAAGCCTTGTGCTTTTAACTATTGTAATCACTAAAACCGATGATCTCGAATTTCTAGAGTTTTTCATAAAATTAGTTATGGGGGTGT